CGTGCAGGAGGCAGCCGATCAATAACTCTCTCATCACTGATGTTTCTATCTCTCTCTCCCTCTCCCTTTCTCTCCCTGAAATCAATAAAGATACATTAAAAATAAAAAAATGCCACCTCTCAGTTCTCTGACCACTTCATCTAAATGTGCAGGCACATTTCCCCCCCCCCAGCATATCCTCTCCTGTTTCTGGCTTTCTTTTTTTCCCAGCATGAATCCCACTGAATCATTCCATATGTATTCTTAGTTATCATTTTAATTATTTGTATTTTATGGAAGGCACTATGTCCCTTAAAGGCAGGGAATTATGTCTATTTTGTTCACACCTTTATCCCCAGGACTTGAAACAATGCCTGCATACAGTAGGGACTCAATAAATATTTGTTAAATAAATGAACTCTTAAATCTCCTAATACTTAACCCCATTTGCTTCCAAATCAATTTCCACTTATCAGGGGAAGTCTCAGAATTTTTATAATTAACCAATTAATTTTGTATTTTTCTCAGGCTCTATTAGAATTTATCACTGTTTTTTAAAACATCTGAGTGCAGTCCTCTTTGTAAAATCTCTCCTCCACAACCAGGCCAAGACACATAGGTTTCCTGGGAAGGCTAATTATCTGAGATCCTTTTCAAACTGCTATTCTTTAAATATCTGTTCAATGGGCAAGGAGAAACTGATTTTCTGACCACAAAATTTATATACTTCTTGGCTTATGATCTAAATAGGTTTATTACATGTTCTGCACATAACAAACATGTCAACTTTTTGGGAAATACCTTTGACAATTTTCATTCACATTAGATGCCCTCCATTCAGGATAGAGGTAGATTTTATACAGTCATAGTAATAAATTTACTATGTTCAAAATGTGTTTGACAGTTCTGTTTCCATATTGACAAAGTATTTCTCCTTTTCTATAATCTCTTTTCAGTTTTCTTTGATGATGTCTTTCTTTCAAATCAACATGTTAAGAGTTATAGTAAAGTCTTAATTAACTTTTAGACACAAAACAGATGGCTTATTTCCCCTGGCCAACACGAACAGCACGCCCTGCACATTTTGAAGCTCAGCATTCCAGTGGCCTGACCGCTGACCTAACACATGACATCAAGGCTGGACGTGTGTCTGGGGCTGCACAGCGCTAACCCCCTAAACTGCATTCCAGTAGAATCAAGGACAGTCAGGGCCAGTGTGGACTCATTTTCAAATTTCCGTTCATCGTGAGCATCGACTTACATTCTGCTGCTTAGATAGAAATCACACCTGAAAATCATCTTTCCAATGAACTCCAGGTGTTCCGAGCCCCTTTAGGATTGGCACTTCTGGAAGTGGCCTACTCGGCCTTCCTGCTGCCCTGCTTTGCCCATCTGCCCACACTTCATCGCTGTGAGGCAAACTTGCTTTCGTAATGCTCCAACTTCTCTTTTATTCAGGATGCTCAGCAAAGTCCGCAGCTCCTCCCCACCACCTCCTTGCTCCCACCAGCCTAGCTCTCCTCCAGCCACTGGTTCTGCCTTGCTGACTTGAGTCACCAGCCTACCTGTGACATTAGGGGAGCCCTGACACAGTCACAGAGACAGAGGCCACATGCCTCTGTTCTCACTATGCTTCATAAGCTGCTGGAAGACCAGACTAGTTAACTATCAGTGCCCACTAGGGTGCACCACTCCACTGGTGGCACCAGCTGACAGACCACCTACAGTATTACAGTTCTCCCACACCACCTCTGCAGTTCAAATAGATTAAGCATCCTTAATTCCGGGCCCTTAAAAATGCAAAAAGGCGGCTGTTTATTGCATGGATAAAAAGAACAGATAATACCCTCAGGTAAAATTCATCACAGGTTTTTCGCATTTTTCCCCTTGGGAAGGATATGGGTTACAGTGAGTGGGGCTTTACTGCCACCTCCTGGATCAGGGCTTGCAGCACTGGGCTGTCCTGGGCAGAGCCAAAGGAGTGGGGTGTCTTCCCAGTGAAATGGATGTAAGGCCAATTGCAGCCACCCCTAAGTTCAGGTGTTGCAGAACTCGCCTTAAGTAATTTCTGTCAATCCAAGCAGAACTGACTTCCTGTGCTTCTCTCTCATTCACTTTTTCCTTCCAAGACCTAACAGAAGAAAGGGGGCCTGGCCGCCTTACTTAAGAAAAAAAGTGTAATTAAAACTACATTCCTCTGGCTAGGTTGCATTTCCCAGTACAAAATAATTTTTGATCTACATTATAAATCAAAATATAGTTTGAGCCAAACTATATTATCTGAATCTGGTGTTTGCTTTTGTTTTCAGGAGGTAGGATACAGATCTATAGAGGAAATCTCCAATAGTCAAGCTAAAATCTGCTTTTTAAATGACCTTTAATATTTTTATTCACAGAAAAAGTAACCCAAATGGCCAATAAATCTGTAAAAAGAAAAAAATATATGAAAATATAACTAATCAAGAAACATAAACTAAAGCAAAATACTTTTCACCTACCGAATTAGTGAAAATAGAAATTATTAATATCTAAAATGGTTCCAGTACAGGGAAATAGACTTTCTCATACGCTATTGATGGGCATGTAAATTGGGTCAGCATTTTTGGAGGATAATTCAGCAGAATTAGTCAAAATCTAAAATGAAACATACTTTTTGCAGCTTCGAACTGCGCACACCTGGTGAGCACTGTGACGGCTTCGCCAGCATCCATTCTCTTCACCTCCCTGGCTTGTAGAAGCCGGTGGTTCCATGGGGAGGCTGTCGCTGACCCGAACCCACCAGCATAACCCAGTTTCCTGTGGCTCCCATTATTAATTCAGACAAAGGAGTCTAACAAAGGCAGGAGCATCGGAACACTCCCCTGGCTACAGTGCTTGACTCAAGATGACCAGTATCCAAATTTGGCTTAATCAGAGTGAAGTTTTGTTTGGTGGCTGGAGGAACACACTTCCTCCCTTTAAGTGAATGAGGAAGCATATATCTCCAGGAGTCTAAGCTCCCAAAGTTTGTATTATCTAAACAAAATTTTTTTAATTGATTCCAGATCTAAAAATCATGACCATATACTTCAACAACGTGCATGCTTCTACCATTTATTAGTGACACTGAGTAAACTCCTTAAACTTTCTAAGCCTTTTACCTTGCCTGTAAAATATGACTAAGACTCCTACCTTCATAGGAATATTATTACTATTGTCACATAGAAATCACTGTGCTAGATGGTATGGAAAAGAAATAAATAAAGTGTGGTTCCCAATCTTTAGAAACAGAAAATTTAGTGTGGCAGCAGCAGTAGGTCTTGTTCTTGCCCATGTGCCTTCAGATCTGGCCCGGACTCTTCTGGGGGGTCTAGGAGCAATTTAATAAGCAGATTTTCTACTTAAAAATATGTATAACAGGGAGACAGACAAGTAGGTATACACGTAAGCAAGAGGAGTGATGGTCCCAGGAAGCGGGCTAAAAACAGGGAAGTAACCAATTGAAACGCTTCTGCCATGGGGTGGAGGGGCAGTTTTTAATTCTAGCAGCAACATTAATAGAGATCACTTCCCGGATCTGGAGGCGAGGAAACAGCTGAATGGAGATAAACTGACATAAAAACCTGCTCACTTGACTGAGAGGAGATCCTACCCTAATCTAGGGACAGGAAAACATGCTGAATTGAGATATTTTCACTTAATTTCCCTGATTCTTACTTTCATTCATATTAACCAACAATACAGTTTCCAAAGTTTTGTTAGAACCTTCCTCACTTCTATTGGAGATGACTCCGCATGACAAAGTAGAACAGGAAGGGATGAAATAAGTCTATGCCAAGGGAGGGAGTAAAATTTCACTGAGAGCAAAGGAAAATAACATTTTATGGATTTTTTGGGGTTATTTTTGTTTCTTGTTTTTTAAAGAAAATTTTTCAATGTGTGATACATTCAATGTCAGATATCCCCAAACATCTATCAACACAAAGCTCCAAATCACAAGTCACACAAGTTACATACAAGTGATGATGAGTGATGTCAAGTTTTGTAGTCAGGTACTTGGCAGAAGGACATGTTAAGGAACAGATAACACATTTTCAAATTACTTCATGTCTAAAGCTATCAAAAGAAAAAATAAAACCCTTTAAAAAGCAATGTGAGAACATAATTTCTCACTCACAAAGAGGAGTGTTAAGGGCCCATTTCTAACATAAAAACACAACACAAAACAATAGAGAAAAATCCATTTAGTTCATTTCACTAGCAGTTGCCTTAAGGCCTTAGAAGCAATGACCCTGGTGTTTCTAATTCTCTGCCAGTGGCTCAATTACATAGAGGAGGTTCTCAGAAAATAAGGCAATCACATTTTTCGATCTAATCTGACTCACAGCTGAGTACAGATCCAGCTTTATATTGTAGCACACTTAAGATTAAAAACCCAATAATGAGAAAGTCACAAGAGACAATGGGTCTTCTACATTTCTATTTCAATAGGAAGTCAGCTATTCCAATCAAGCAAGGGATTCTCAATCAGGAGAGCCAGGTTCTAAGCCCGAGTCTGTCACAACTTTTACCAGGTAGTCTTTACAAGACATGTTCCTATATGACCAGACAGCTTGTATCACTGGCTGTACAAGAAAATTAACTTGCCATCCCTATATCCAAAATTTCCCAAAAAGAATTAACAGATTATCTCAAACGTACTTGTTAAATACCACACAGTGTTGTATATATTGTTTCTAGTTTATTAAATAAATGCAAATAAAAAAACTATGGAGCTCAATAACATATAATATTTATTAACTGTAAAACACACATACACACAACAAGCCCATTTTCCCCACCAGTACATATACATATTTCCTTTTAGTATGTGACTTAATCATATCCTTGTAAGGAAAGACAAAGTAACCTTAAACTGCAAAAAAGAGGATTATTTTAGTTCAGTGTCTATAACCCCAATTTGCAAAATCTCTTTTTCCAGGTAGTTCTGCCAAGGTTCTAACCAGATATGAGTCTCAAGACTCAACTTGGACTTATAGTAAATAATTTTTAGTTCCTTAATTCTAAAGTGCACAAATGTTTTAATAGATAAAAGATGCCAGAAGCAAACACAGAATGAAAAGGTAACTGACCCCTGACCCTCAGACATTGAGGTGACCCTCAGACAAAGGTCATTTGCACACTGACCTTTAAATAGAACAAACACTGAAATAAGCTGGACAGCCGTTTGGCTTTTAAGTAGTGTCTGTTTTTTATGCTGTGGTGGCTGTTGACAACATTCTTCAAAGTAGAAGTAATGTTTTAATGTGAGGCCTATTAATGCCTATACACTAATTTTGTTCAGCATGTTAGCCATACCTGGTCTAGTCAAACACCTGGTCAGAGGTTAAAGATAAAGCTTCGAAATCAAGAGCAAACTTTAATTGAGCCACTTAAGGCTTTTAAATTGCAGCCCCTTATTTTGCCTCCTGAATGTCCTACTCTTTTGAGGCTCAAGTAGCTATGGTTAGAATTTTGATAGTAAGCTCCACAGCATAGGTAATAGAGAAAAGTGCTAGTTAAATTGTTGGGCTAAGTTCTAGTTGATGTCTTTTGGGAAAAAAACAACACATTATTAATTGGTTAAGGCAAAAAAACCCCACAAAAATTCTGGTCCCCTTAACAACCATTCTCTAAAATGATAAATGCAGAGCATGACTGGAAACCCAGAAACCAAAAACCTAGGGCCAAACTGGTTTAACTCTTCCACCTAAAAGTTGTGGACCAGTGCATTAGAAAAGATGTGTGTGCTATAGGTTAATAATTTTGCACCTTGGTTAAAAGCTTTTGGGAAGGCCTAAGTGTTTGAGGAGACAGGAATATCTCTAGGATTTTAGACAGATATTCTGTCTAATATCACCTTCAAACTATCAGTGGATAGGAGTGAAGTCCGGAACAATGGACATTCCCTGCCCAAAGCTGTTGGACTTCAGTAGCAATAGGCCCAGAGAAGAGTAACCAGTCCTAGCCAATTGGTAACCTGCTTGCCATCTCCTAATTCTGTATATATACCTCTTTTGTCACTGAAAAGTTTCAACTCCAAGGTACACCCACAAAATTCTCCTTTCACACTCTTGTTCCAATCACGTTCCTGCTCACAGAAACATTAGCACAAGAATCATATAGCACAGAGGACTATCCAGGACCAGCCGTACCAAACCATTAGAAGTGAAAGGTTTCTTTGCGAAATTTGCATTTAGTGTGGCTCTTAGAAGATCAGCAGAGGCAGATTCCCATGATACACTGATCAAACATCACCTATAATCACAGAAACCAAAGAAATACGTCTATCCATAGAGAGCAGTTACATATCTTCTTAAAGCCTAAACACAAGTAAGATTCTTAAATGTGTTTTTATAGTTACGTTAGAGCAAAGGAAACATTTTCTTTGATCCTAGTTTTTTCATTTTCTTCAACTGATTCTAGTTTTAAGCACCCACATCCACCAAACACACTCCTAAATAAATATACACGTTAATGCAGGTAATACACAAAGTTCGATGCATAAGTAACATGAACTTTTATAATGTCTCTTTCTCCCTTTTTTAACTTACTTTTAATCTTGGGTAACTTTAAATAGACAACCTACCAACAGTAAATATACACTCATGTGACAAGAACCGTGTCACTAGTCTTTCATTGGGTGTATCTTGAAATAGCATCAGTGGATTTGAAAGGCAATGGGATAACAGTTGGAGAGGGAAACTTGTTCAGTCTTCCTTTGAAACACCTGGAAGTCTTTCTCTTTCCTTCTGCAAGACCTTTCTCAGAAAATGCAGGCAGTTCAAAACCACGTGTATCTCCTCCTAGGATATCAGCACTTTTGTTCCAAGAGGATGTCATCTCAAGTGCAAAGCAGCACCTAAAAGCACAGGGGGAATACATGCCACCAAACAGTTTACATAAAATCTTTCTAGGTGTCTATCTCACTTGCTTCCTCACACTGTATATGCAAACACACAAAATATTTCCCATGAAAGGCTATAGACCTACCCAGTTCAGAACTGAACTGGCATTCAGTGCTGGTGTTCCACCCAAGGTAAATCAGCCTCCGAGTCCTCTGACAAGGGAGATCCTGGTACCTGGAAGTCAATAATCCAGCATTACAGATACTCAGTCAATGTAAAAGGCCCACTCCCTGAAAGCCCCAATTCTTGTTGTTCCGATACCAGATGTTTAAAATTAACTATCCATAGTTCAAGTTGCTTGCACAGAAGAAGACGAAGTAAGCAGACATGCTTTGGCCTCTTTGTTGATGCATACTTTTGATGTGCCAGGGCAGTGCAAACACACTACAACCCCTCTCCTACTTATTATCAAACAAACAAACAAAACCCTTTGGGGGGAAAAACACAAAACACCTGAGGATTACGGAGAGGAGTCAAAACTTGAAGATGTGCCCCTTCACGTGGGGGTGGTTTTCCAATTTTGTTTTTTATTCCTGTGGCTTTGCCCTAGTCCCAGAGTAGTGAGGAAGTGAAGCAGGCTAAAAGTCTGAAGGAAACCCCATCTTTATAGAGAAACCCGGAAAAGGGGTCCCTGTGGGCCAAAAGGGACAGTGGAATTCTGAAGGGAAGAGAGCTAGAGAAAGGGGCCCTCTAATTCTATATATAAACCCGCAGAAGTCTCAGTCCACCTCCTGAGATGTGCACATGGATAGCTTCAGACCAGCACAGCAAAGGCTTGGAGAACTAAGCAGAGATTTGACTCACCTATGCAAGCATCCTGAACCACACAAGTATAGGACAGGTGCAAACTAGGACCACGACTTAACTGAGACTTGCATGGCCTCTCACAGAAGCTAAGGCAGAATTTACAATGTCAACCAAACTTGGGTGACTTCCTGCTAAATAAAAAAGTCAACATTTTCCAGAGTATTTTAACAGGACCCAAAGGCTACACAACATAATTTCCACAATGTCTTAGATAAAATTCAAAATTACTGGACATAAAAATATCCAGAAAGTGTGATCAATTCAATCAACAAATATCAATATCAATACTGAAGTAGCCCAGATGTTGGAACTTACATATATACTTTAAAGTACCCATTATAGCTATGGTACCTGAGATGAAAGAAAATATACTTGAAATGAAGGGACAGGAATTCTTAGCAGAAAACTGGGAGCTCTAAAAAATAACTAAGTGGATACAGTGTTTAGGACTAAAAAATCACAGTACTGAAATCTTAAAACCTCACAGGATGGGCTTAATAGCAGAATGCAAACAACAAAGTAGAGAGTCAAAGAACCTTAAGATAACTTTCAACAATAAAAATAAGTTAAAACCAAAAAAAGAGAGAGAACTTAAAGATAAATCATAGAAATGACCCAAGTCTTAAAAATAGAGAGAAAAAAGATTGAAGAGCATGAACAGAGTTTCAGGAACCTGTGAGGAAATACCAAAAGATCTAACATGTATGGCACTGGAATCTCAGAAGCAGGAAAGAGACTGTGGCAGAAAGAAAATTTTGAAGAAATAATGACTAAAAACTTCCCCGATTTGCTGTAAGTTTACAGATTCCCCAAACAGGATACAATAAAAACAAAACAAAAACTATGCCTAGACACATCATATTCAAACTAATGAACATGAGAAATAAAGATTAAATCCTGAAGGCAGAGAGAAAATGAAATATTACATACAGGAGAATAACACTTCAAATGCCTGAGAATTTCCCCCCAGAAATCACAGAGACCAGAAAACAGAGAAACAACGTCTTTATAGTCCTGAGAGAAAAAAGGTTTAAGACAACCTACCAACTCATATTTTACATACAGTAAAATTCATTTCAGGAATGAGAGCAAAATAAAGTCATTCTCAAATGAAGGAAAACTAAAAGAGTTTATCACCATCAGAACTACTCTGCAAGAAACGCAAGAAGGAAGTTTTTCAGGTGGAAGGAAAATACCAGAAAATAAAACTGTACTCTTTAAGAAAAAAGGAAGATGGAACAGACGGATGTATTTCTGAGGGAAGGGGGGTGGGAGGGCTGGAAAAAAATTTACCAAAGAACTTGCATGCACAACCCATGGACACAGACAACAGTGTGGTGAAGGCCTGGGGAGGGGGCAGGGGCACAGAGGAGGG